AAACAAAACAAAAACAACGAAAATGTGCCCTAAAATCAGCCTGAAATCGTGTAACATTGCAGAAATCGGTGGATATGGACAGACAATGTGATAAATATGTACAAGGATTGATTATCACATAAACAAGTTATCCAATCATTTTGATCATGTGAAAAAAATTTTCAAAATGAATTTACATTATGCGCGCCATTTTTTTTGAAACACACTGTATCTGGATCCTTGTTGTTGGCTGAATGTTGACGCTTATTTGGATCATTGCTACGATCGTTGTTAGTTGAACTTTGACGCTTATATGAATCATTGTTGCGATTACTGTTAGCTGAATTTTGACGATTATCTGGATCCTTGTTGTTGGCTGAATGTTGACGTTTATTTGGATCATTGCTACAATCGTTGTTATCTGAATTTTGACTTGGTGTTGAATAGGATGGTGTGGTCAATATTTTATCACTCAAACAAAAATGATATGATGAGACTTCCTTTTTTATGTTGGCACTTTCAACCTGTAATTCTCTGTTCAATTTTTCACAAAAAAATTCATTGGTTTGTTGTTGTAATCCTCCTCAACTAGCCTCTCCAATCCTTCAAATTTTGAAACTTAAGTTCAAGCTTCTTTCCATTATGAATTAGCCAAATGATACTTTTCGTCCTTTTGATGTTCAGCCTTTTCAGTTATAGAATCATAATTGTTTTCACCATGAGTTCCTTTGGCATCTACATCAAATAACCAGAATTAGTTATCTGATGAATGGCATGAAAGAATCAGACAATGATGATTTTGCGTTTAAAGCTTTAGTAAATTTCAAAAGGATCTTCAATCGGGAGTTCAAGAAAGTGTATATAGAATGCATTGATCCTTTGATTCTGTGTCAACATGTTCATCATACAATTCTACTCTTTTGAGAAGTATATTGAAGGTTTAGATAGTGGTAAAGCCCATCAGGACTCAAAACTGCAAACAAGAAACGAGATTGTAAAATGCATTTAAAGAATCGATTGTGAAAAAACTTAAACAAAATAACAATGCGAGGAGAATTGATTATAGGAGCAACTAGATCTGGTAATCATTTCGTGGG